CAGGGCCTCGTATGTATGAACACGACTGGTTGAGGCCATTACTGTACTATAACTGGGTGGGAAGCCGGTCAAGTGAGTTACAAGGCAAGCTACTGGCTTCAACCAAAAGCTGCAATCAAAAATTTTACAAATAGCGCCAGTTTAATCTGAGTTTCAGAAATTATCACAAGACATCATTTTTTGTTTGTTTTATTTGGAACACTATGCTGAGAAATTAATAACAAGGAAGAAAATTGTCTTAATTATACTTCTATAATTATCTGCGAAAAAATATCATATCTATTTCCAGAATCAACAACTGAGGTACATGCACAGAAACTGACGAAAATATTATTACAATTGTTATCTGCTTTCTTTATAAATTTAAAAATATTCTATTTCTCTAAAATATAAAATAGATAAAGGCTAAAACACTGTGCAACTGAATTGCCCAAGACTTCACAATTTATCCTAATATAACAACTGTTTTTACACACAAAAAAGAAACTTTATCTATTGGTACAAGCTATGGATGACCAGTTCAGCACATTTCATTCTCAAAATCTTTTAACCTAACATCTTTGAAATTAACCACGTATACCGGTATATATCAATTTTAATCAATTTAAAAGGGCATAAATGCTCTTTTTAATACATACATCCTAACCAGTATAAGTAATATTCACGGACTAATTCCTCAGTCGCATAAACCCGTACAAATGTTACTTTAAGTTTTAACGTCACAAATGTTTTAGACGGACCAAAGATTCGGCCTCAATCCCAAATATAGAGTCTGTCGGATAAGTTACAAGTGAAATGTTCGTTATATAGTCAAAATATTCACGACTGGATTCTTCCGCTGCACGTACATAACAAATATGATAACGTACAAACATTCCTTTAAGTTTTAACGTGAATCTCGAATTCCAAATTTGGAACCTGTCGTATAAAAGTTACTCGTAAAATCCGTTAAATGATCAAAAAATTCACAACTTAATTGTATAGCTTCCATCACAAGCTCATGACAAACATAATCTCCTACATTTATTAGTTGAGGTCGCATATGTCTCGAATTCCAAATTTGGACGCTGTCGTATAAAAGTTACTCCTAAAATATTTATCAAATAATCAAAATATTCACGATTGAATTCTTTCGTCGCAAGTTCATGACAAATATAATAAAAACACGTCTAAAACAACGATTTTACTCCTGATACATTTCTGAAGAGTCTTTGCATTAGGAATTGGAGTTGTATTGCGCAGGCCCGGGTTGTTCAAAAAGGTGGATAGAGCTATCGACTGGATAAATCACCATCCAGTGGATAGTGTGGTTTGTTTTGTTAACACTTATCCACTGGATAGTGATTTATCCGGTGGATAGCGTTATCCAGCCTCCAGACAACTGAGGCCTGGTCAGTTCAACGATGAGGGCGTGGACAGTGCGGCATGCATTTTCGTGTTAACCTTCACGAAAAT